TTCTGTAACTTAAATGCATGCGTGAGTGTATGATTATGTGATTGCATGTGTATGTGTATGATTGTTTGAATTCAAGTTATTAAATGAGCGTTATTATTGTGTGTGAAGAAAGATGTCTCGTAGACCACGATACCCTACCAATATTGTTAAGGATATCGCTTGCGCTCTCGAGTAGATGGTGCACATACTCCAGGGACAACATGCATGACCTGTCCCTAGGTACCGTGCCAGTATGAATGACTATTTATGTCATAATCCATCCAAATTCAATGGAAAGGCTATTTTGGATGAGGCAGATGACTATATCTGCAACAACAAAAGATCTTTAGAGTGATCGATTGTACTAAGGAGCAAAAGTTGATGTTCTCTACTTTCATGCTAGCTGAGGAGGTAGAATACTGGTGGAGGAGCACAAAGCAATTGATGACCCACAAGGAGAGGAGATTAGCTAGGTGAATTTCAGGGCAATGTTCCTTGAGTGTTATTTTCTTGAAAGTGCTAAATATGAAAGGGAAGTATAGTTCCTGACACTGTAGCAAGGAAGCATGATTGTGCAGGAATATGTGGCACGTTTTGTGTACCTCTTTAATTTTATACTCAGACTATGAATGAGGATTGGAAGTGCAAAAATATTGAGAGGGGCTTGCATCCTAGTCTGATGAGAATCATAGTGCATTTGAAGATCAAAACATTTACGGAGATGGTGGAACAATCCAAGATGACAAAGTTGATGAAAGAGAGTCAGAACCGGGTGGTGAGGACTCAAAAGGGTGGTTCGTTTAGACAGAAAAACCATAAGAGCCAATGCTAGATCATAGTAAGGACATTTTGGAGGTTTGAAGTGCTATGAATGTGGGGGTCCTCATACTAAGAGATATTGTCCGAATTTGACTAATGTGAAGGCTGAGGAAAGGAAATGTTTTGTCTATCAAAAGCCTGAAGATCTTGTTGTTGCATGTCCAGAGAAGAAGAACTCAGGAAGTGGAACACAGACTCAAAAGTTCTCTTGAGGGAAGTTGAAAACAACAAGATGAGTTTTTGCCATAACAAGGGATGAAGTGACTGAATCAGGTAACTTAATCCTAAAATTTATTACTTGAATGATAAATGTGTACATGTTTTGTTTGATTCGGGTGCAACACATTTATTTATTTCTCTTAGAAGTTTGGAGAAACTTGGGTTACCGATGGTTGATCTGGGATGTGAGTTAGTAGTTTCTACACCAACATCAGGGCAACTTTCAACCAGTTCAGTTTGTGTTGGGTGTCTGTTAGAGGTAGTAAGATACATATTCAAGGCTAATATGATGTGTTTATCACTTAAGGGGTTAGACATAATTTTGGGGATGAATTAGCTAACAACCAATGATGTTCTCATTGATTGCAGTTAGTAGAAGGTTGTCGTTCTAGAGAAGGAAATGGTACAAACGAGTTCATCTCGCGAAGTTTTGCAGGATATCCAAGCATGAGTTGTATGTTTTGTTGTGATAGTAAATGGAAAGAAGAAGAGTGCAAAAGATAATATTATGGGTGTACCTATAGTGGAGAAGTTTGTTGATGTGTTGCTTGATGAAGTTCTAGGTTTTCTACCCAGCCAAAAAGTTGACTTTGCAATAGATTTGGTGCCAGAAGCAAGACCAATGTTTATGGATCCTTACAGGATGGCTCTAGCTGAGTTGGCAGACCTAAAGAAACAAATAGAAGATCTATTGGAAAAGAAGTTTATTCGGCCTAGTGTAACGTCGTGGTGAGCTCCAATGTTGTTTGTAAAGAAGAAGGACAAAAGCTAAATGTTATGTGTTGAATACATGCAGTTGAACAAGGTTACTATCAAGAATAAGTACCCTTTCCCAGAGATGACGATTTGTTTGATCAATTGAGGGGTGTCAGTGTACTGTCGAATTTTGATTTGAGGTCTGACTATCATCAGACCTTAGTCAAACCAGAGGATGTGTAGAAGACAACTTCTAGGTCATGCTATGGACATTATTGTTAGAGTAGTGTAGCGAAATGATTAGCGTGAACAATAAATCAAGAGGGGGTGAATTGGTTTCTTATCGCAAATGTGTGCCTTTAATAATTTTCTCTTAATTTAAATTTCCTTAGCAAATAATTAAAACAATAATTAAAACAGAAAGGCAAGTTTAAGGGTTTAGAAAACACCTATCTTGTTACCACAAGAGATGAAATTCACTTCCCCTGAAGGCCATAAGGGATGAACACCTCCTCCGAATGCTTCACGAAGGATGAACACTTCCTTTGAATCTTCACAAAGGATGACATGTTTTACTCAGCAACAACAACAACACTCAATTACACTCCTAGTGAAAGTTTTTGCTCTATGCCAACACCAAGTTCTCAAAGCCACAATACAACGGTTACACAAACCCTATATCACACTTATCACAACTCAAAAGCAATCAGATAAGTTTATGTGTTTTACAATGAGAGTCTAAAACTAATATATAAAAATCTAAGGACACCTCCAAAAATCTGTTGTCAGCTTTTTTCTCGCGTGATAATCGATTATCCACTTATGGTAATCGATTATGCATTAATGCACAACAGCCAAAAACATGCCTAAAAACTCCAACGACTAGTCGTGATAATCAATTATGGTAAGTCATAATAGATAATGAATAATTGATTATCATAAGTTAGTAATCGATTATTCTAGAGACAAAATGAGTTTTTAGCAACCTTTAAAAACATCTTTGTGATAATCGATTATCTTAAGTGTTAATCGATTATTGGAGAGTTTTTGTGACTCGAAAACAAATTTTGAAACATACAATCAATGGAATCAACAACAAATAAAGCCCTATACATAACTCTACTTATTACAAAAGGTTTAACACATAAAACAAGTCTTCATGAAATTCTTCTTGCAACATGAGCACTTAAGACTTGATTTAGGCATCATCAAAACTTTTATCTTCATGATTTTGCTAACAATTATGAGTATGTGGTGATGTCGTTTAGTGTGATGCATGCTCCATCAATTTTCATGGACTACATGAATCGAATATTTTGGTCTTGTCTTAATAAGTTCGTTGTCGTATTCATTTACGACATTCTCAACTATTCCAAGGATCGGGAGGAGCATGCTGAATATTTGAGAATGACGGTTGAAATCTTGAGAGGGCATTAGTTGTATGGAAAGTTGTCAAAATGTGAGTTTTGGTTGGAGGAAGTCCAGTTCTTGGGACATGTAATTTTTGTTCAAGAAATTTCAGTAGACCCAGCCAAGGTTAAGGCTGTGTTGAAATGGGAGTGACTAACAACGATGAAAAAAGTGAGAAGTTTCATGGGGTTCACAAGTTATTATCAGAGGTTTGTGGAAGGGTTCTCCAAGATAGTGTGAACATTGACATGGTTAACTCGTAAGGATCAGTCGTTTGTTTGGACAAACAAATGTGAGACAAGTTTTGAGGAGATGAAGAAGAGGTTGACATCTGCTGTAGTTTTGGTGATTCCAAACATTGAGAAACTTTTTGAGGTGTATTGTGATGCATCATATCAAGGACTCGGATATGCACTGATGCAAGAAAGGAAACTAGTGACATATGCATCTCGTTAGTTGAAAGTGCATGAGAAGAATTATCCGACGCATGAGATGGAGTTGGTTGTGTTTGCCTTAAAAGCATGGAGACATTATTTATATGGAGCTTTTTTTCAAGTCTTTAGTGATTATAAAAGCCTGAAATACTTGTTCGATCAGAAGGAGTTGAACATGCATTAGAGGAGATGGATAGAGTATTAGAAAGACTATGATTTTGAATTGCAGTACATCCATGAGTGGTGAAGAATACTGCACAACCAATAATTGGTGAAACTCAACTAAGCAATGTATCAAGTGAATACCAGGATTGTCTAAGGATATAAGGAATGATGATAATACTCAGTTGTAATCTTGTTAAAAATTATAGTAGAACCCTCTAAATCATGATTCAAGAAGAATTCGAGATGAGTATGATGGGCGAGCTAAAGTTCTTTCTTGGACTATAAATAAAGAAAGAAGACAATGTGATCTAGCGCTCAAACAATTTGTGTAGTTCTAAGCATAAGTCTTTAGCCTTTCAGTTTTGATCAAATACTTAGATGTCTCTACTTGTTAGACGTTGTTTATCACATACTATTTATATGCTTTTTTCCTTCGACACTTTTTGACAATTATTGTTTAAGCCTTTTTGAAGGTAGACACATCAGCTCGGCAAGCTTGAAAGACTTAGTTTTAGCTCATCAAACAATAACGAAGAAGCTCGTCAAACTTGGTTTCGTAATGGAAGTCATTATCAATGACCATAACTTTAGTTCGAAAAACAATGCACAATTGAAGTCGTAATGAGTAAGGACAATTTTGATTCAATTGAAAGTCGTCACCACTACAGACGACATCCTATAATTTGAAAGTTGTCATCACTCCTAACAATTTTCGTTCAACATGTTTACAAAAAAGTCGTCATTAATTTTGACGACTTCACATTTTCAAAATTTTACAAAAAAGTCGTCCTCAATCATAATAAAAAGTCATCTAAATCATGATGAGTTGAATTTGAAAATCCTCAATACTCCATACAATTTATGTTTGAACTATAAATTTTAAGTAAATTACTCCATTTTTTAATTTATGGGTAAACTATCCCATTTTTGAAAAATTTGCTTACTTTTACTTAGATTAATCATACTTAGTTTTTTCAGTCTATTTTTTTTATAAGTATTTTTTTTATTAAATTATCAATAAGTTAAAGGATTAATATTATGGTTCACAATATAAAGTAATGTACTCTGACTGTCATGTTATAAAACTTCATATTTAATAAGTCAATGACAATTATAATAATGGAAGTGGGACTAATCTTTATCCAATAGACCAAAAATAATCTGTGACCGAAAAAATAAAAATAAAAATAAATTTCACTTCAATTCTGCACGAGATTTGCTTTTTGTTCACTATGGCTAATTTTGAAAGTTTAACAAAAGGGGCATGCATAAAACTGATGAATATATTAGAAAAAAAAATGATAGCTATAAGATTAATAATAGCAGAAGAAAGGGTAGAAAGACATGATAGGGTAGTTCCAATAAAGCATGGGGCCACGGAATTAACTATTATTACATCAAAAATCCAAGTTGGGATGAGGGAAATTGGAAATGCCTCCAAACATGTGTCACCTAAGCCAATATGAAGTTGCATTTGTCATAGCCTGTGCAAAACCATAACCATGTGTTTCATGAAACAAAAATAAACAAAAGTTAGTGTACTTATACTTAATATTAGCCCACGGAATCAAATTCAAGCTATACGATTCTCACGTAATGAAATGTGTATTTAAAATAAAGGTTTAATTAGTAATTTTTGGTTCCTATATTTTTAATTCATTTTAGTTTTTAAATTTATTTTAACTTACTTGAATTTTTAGTTTTCTTTTTAAAAAACTTAATAGTTTTAAAAACAAAACTTATAGAATTCTCGTTAAATTGATATTAACACCATTTGAAATTATCTTTTATCAAAATCCAAAAATATTAAAGTAAAACATGACTCAAATTCCTAACATCTAAAAAACCTAAATTTTGATACATAACATTTCTAAACATTATTAACATTAATTTATCATAAGTTATACAATAAACCTTTTACAAAAGTATAAACTCAATTAAATAAAAAAATATATATAATATCTAACACAAATCAAACACCCAAATATGAAAATTCAATTTACTAACTAAACTCAAAACAAAACAACACAAATGACATGTTTTTGTCATCAAATATTTATCGAAAAATACAATATTAATAAAAATTAAGTTAAACTTACATAAAAATTAGCATTAATTTTAATTTAAAGCAATAAATTTATAAATTATATTTTATATATTATTTATGTTTATTAGTTTTACTAAATATAAAACTTACACTCGTAGTTAAATATCTAATATGCTTTTAATCGTATTTTGTGATAAGGAAACATTGAATTAAAAAGTTAATGAATTGGTATAATAAACAGAAATTAAAATAGTTTAATAAAAGAAGTTAAATATAGGAATCGGTTAAAACCAAGTTATGCTAGCTTAAAATTTTAAAAATAATGAGTAAACAAATCTCCTTTTACAAACACTATTATTATAGAAAAATAGGAAATATCATATTTAACTATTCAAATCTTTTAACAAAAAAAATCGAATTATAAGCTAACTATACGACAAATTTATTCACTTTGCCAATATCAAGTATAGAAATTATTCAAAATTTATCGGTAGAATATACTTTTATCACTTTGATATGCAAAATTTTGGTTTCATTTTCTCAACAAAAAAAAAATATCAATATTTTATTCCCAAAAAAACTGAAGAATGTTTTTTCCCAAAGATACTGTTAACTAATGTTTAAGTTAGAAAAATTATTTCAGTGAATTTATACATAAAAATTTAGATTTTGGATTATACTGGTGAAACCCTTATTAATATTATTTCTTAGATTGCGCAATTACTTACTTGGATCAACAGTGACGAGCATGGCAGTTCCACCAAAGTCACAAGTTCCTCCACCAATCTTAGTGTTCTGCCAGTAACTATTGAAGGCAAAGGAAGCATGAGACAGTAGAGTGTTGGGCTGGAAGCAGAGCCCATTGAGCTGAATTGATTTGCAATCTGCTCCAGACCCACAGGCATAGTCCATGGCCTCCTGAATGATCGGGTCTGGAACTGTGGGCTTTGCCACACACCAAAGGGCGTACTGTGGGGGCTTTCTGCGGTGCGCGGAGGGCGAAGGTGGTGGTGGGAATACCACAGGTGGCAGGTATACCAATGGTGGCGGGCTTAGACTTGGAACACTCTTTGGTGGACCTGGTAGGCTTGGAGAATGCTTTGGTGGGCTTGAAGATATATAGGGACGTGGTGGTGAAGCAACAATGCTTCTTGGGCTTGGGGGCCCATGAGAAGGTTGACTTGGAAGAGGTGAAAATGCTGGGAGATTAGGGTTGCCAACGCCACCTATGCTTGGAGGTGCCAATGAAGGAGCAATGGAAGTTGATGGTGCGAGTGAATTGTAAGGTGGCAAGGGTAGGGAAGAAGGAAACCCATATGAATTAAAATCTGAGAACCCAAATGAATCAAATGGTGAATACTTGTTCAAACGTTTTAGAGATTTTACTTTCAGCTTCTTGGAGGATTTAATGAGGGTGTTTTTATGGATTCTGTGACCCCTTATACCTCTTCCATGATACCACGCATCTGGAACACAAGAAAAAGAAAATATTAGGGTTACTACACTGACCAAAAATGAAGAAAACTATGTTGTGGACTTTACCACACATAGGAAAAAGAGTGGAAGCTAGCATTGAAAAACAAAGAATTGAAATGGTGAGTCTATGAATTGAATCCATTGTAGAAGAATTGGTATTGGAAGAGAGTGCAGAGGAATTGGCACATGCATTGCAATATAAGGAGCTCTAGTAAAGTGAGAAGGCTTGAAGATGAACTAAAGTTATGATTCTGTGGTTCACTTTAGTTTTGTTGGTGTCACTTTGTGAGATGTGGGTGAGAACAATAGCAATGCATGGATTTTGATATTAGAGTGAGTTTTTGTTGTGTGGAATATATGCTTACTTGGACATGAACCTTGGTCTTTGCTTGTTTGCCACTCAAAGAACTAGATGAGATTTTGGGTCATTTTATATATGTGTATGTAAAACTGGGGATTAAGCTTCCTCCATTCCGATGCCAAAAAGCATTTTTCATGCAAAATATCATGATGGCGACTTTTTTTTCCCCTTATACTGATGGTGTTTGATAAAAGTATAAGTTGAAGATTCGGTTAATATCAGTGTTAATAAGTAAAATAAGCTTAAACAGTTTGTATATCGCTGAGCACTTTTATATAGGTAAAGATATATAACTTTATAACAATAAATATAAATAATTGTAACAATACTAAAAAGCTAATTTTTATTAGCGATTTATTTGTAATATATATTATAATTAAATATGTTTTTGTCTTATTCATTCTCCTCTTTTAGAAAGTTATAGATTTAGTCATCTTTGACCAACATTGTTAGATTTTTTTTCAATATAACCTGATTAAGTCACGTTACTATCTTCCAATGTCGACAAGATAGTTCGGTGGCAAATAGTGTGTTACATCCCCAGTCCGGTAAGATCGGCAAGACATGTGTATTGTGTTCCTAGGTCGACAAGACATGTGTATTGTGTTCTCAGGTCGGTGGGAAGTTTAGATAGTTTGATAAGGTGCATGAAAAACTCGGATAGCTCGGTCAGAAGTCTAGAGAGCTAGGAAGGTGCTATCTAAGTTATCTGAACAACCCATCGAGCTATCTAGACAACCCACCAAGTTATCATGTGTAAGATTGCTAGAGACCATGGGTTCAGTTCCTACCTAAGACACTTCCTTAGCTCTATTTCTCCATTTCTATAATTGGTGGACATGTGGGACCCACATGATGTAGGAAAGAGAGAGATTTTTTTGGTGAAGCTTTGTACCTCTATGTAAGGTTGGTCACGTAGGGGAAGGTAGAGTATTTTTTTTCTTTTCTTCTTTTACTAGTTTGTATTATGTGTTTTTGTATGAGATTGAAGAGATTGGTCTATGAAAAAACAAAACCACTACATGACATGTTTGGGTTGGTAGTGAGCAAAGAAATCTTGGCAGAGACTTTTGAGGCATAGGAGGGGCTCACCTTCTTGTTGTTATGTTCTAGACATCTTCTTCTCCTAAACTGAAGTTATTATTGGAGAGAAAAAGGGCTTTAAAATAACATATTTTGTGAGTCAGATAAAAACATTGTTACTATTCTTACACAAAAGTATAACACTTGTGAGAGGAGTGTAGAGACTCTATTCTTCTACTCTTAGTGGAGTGTTAAAGAGGATCCAAGAGTAGATGAGCTTTTGGTCATAGTTATAACATCAAAGAACCTCTTTTTAACATTCTCTACAACTAGAGGTAAGGGGAGGAACCATGGGATATATTTTGTAAGGGGTGGGGTTAGTTTCAATATTCAACATGCATGAATAACTTGATGGTATTTGCATGGGCTATTGATTTGTTGTTGCATGTAAGGAAGTAACTATGGAAAAATGTTTTGCATGAGGTGCGAGATAGTTTTAACCTCTAACATGCATGAAGGTTTGTTGGGCTTTGCAGGAGTGTATATTTTGTTGTTGTATGTGAAGGGCAACCAAGGTATATGTTTTGTGAAGGGTGAGGTTTAGTTTAAAACTATATTATATATGCATGATGGGGTGCTTGCATGGGTTTCTGCTAGTATGGTGTGCAAAGTATGTATCATAGGTATTTCAAAGCTTATGGTGGATGTGATAGAGTGCATGTTTTTGGTTCTTTGTTGTGTTTCAAGTTTGAATGTATATGATGTGTTTCTTTGCTATATTTGGAACTCTTCATGTTATGTTTTTATGGTTTGCATGTGGGTTACATTCCTACACTCTAAATCTAGAGTGTGTGGAGTGTGAAGGGGTGAGTTTTTCTATTCATGTTAGTGGAAGAGATGAGTGAGTAAATGAGAGTGTTAGAAGGATGGTGGTGAGCTTATGAGTTTTGGGGTATAAATAGATTTATGTTTTCAGAAAGAATGGTGGTGGTTGTGCATGGAGTTTTAGTAAAAGCTATATCTGGGAGTATTCCCACCTTTCCATGCAAGAAAACGTTTTTCAAGTTGTCATGTTTCCATTTTTTATGTAAATAATCGTTAGAATAGGTGGTATTCGATTATGTTGAGCTTAGAGGCCCAAAAACGTGAATTTCTCTCGAGAATAACCAATTATTAAGGTTAATAATTGATTCGCAGTAATCGATTATCATTAATAATAATCGATTATCTTAGAACAAAGGTACAAACCTTTCACGATGTTCCCGATTTAATTAAGACTCTTCCCAGGGTCAAAAACATATGTATAAGTAGTCAAATTAAAGCTCTTTGAGTCTAGTTTCCACTAACAAAAAGAATCATCTCATTTGGAATTTTGTACAAAGAGTTATGAGCAAAATAGTAAGAAAAGGTAAGAGTTGACAACATTCTATTTTTACACGAATACTTGGGCTTTTAGCAACTTAGTATGTTTTGAGCTTGCTAGGGTCTTATATGTTTGATATATGAAAATGGAAGAAAGGGAAGGAGTGTGAATGTGGATTACTTAGAGTTTGAAAAGAGAGGAAAATAAGTGTTTTGAATAATTGATAGTTGAAATAGAAAAGAAAAGGTGGAAAAATGAGAAAGATGGGGAAGAGTTAGTGATTCTGAAGAATTAAAAATAAAAAAATTGTGGACCTATGTAGGGCCCACCTTGGTGAGAGAGTAATTTTATATTACAAGGGTGTAAACTTATTAAGTTCGTGATTGAGCACTGTTATTTAGTTTGTTAGTGTCATATACGTAAACTATTTATTGCTTGTAATTTCGTGAGACATGTGAGCAGTTCGATATGATTATAACTTTGAGTCTCGCGTGAAACAGAGATTTAAGTGTCACCTTTCCTTTTGCATGATGAAATAAATAGGTGGATGTCTCGTCCAATGATTTCGGCTCGTGCTGAGTATAATCCATCGATACATGTAGTATCAATGTTTTTACTCATTAGTCCTTGAGGAGTCAGGAGAGATAGGTGTGAAGTTGCAATGGAAGACGACTCAAATCGCTTGTTATTGAGAGTAGGTTCTGATGAAGAAATGCAAAGAGATGATTGGTCCATCAAAGGGCAATCGACTATCATTGAGAACAAATTTTAACGATAAAATACAAGGAAACACCATTAGTTTATGAAAGGATTGATGGTGATGTTATGCTTTGCATCGAAATATGATGTTATGGATTGTTATAGTCTGTGTATAATGTGTTTTTACAATGTTATATATATATATATATATATATATATATATATATATATATATGATATTTCTAGTTGCTCACCCTTATATGTTGTGGTTGTGGTTCCATCTGCAATGATTGTATTTCTACAGGAGTATATGGTGTTGTAGATGAGGTTGGTTTGAAGTAGCTCGACAAGAGAGATGGGGGAATAAAACTTGTCGAGGTTTTTATTATGTTATTTTATTTAAGTGTTTGATTTTATTGTTGTAAAAGACAATTAACATTTATTTTGATGTAGTGTACGAACATATGATATGTTTATGAATTGCTTCCGTGTTTTAACCTTTTTATAATATATATATATATATATATATATATATATATATATATATATTTGATTAGATCATGTTATACATTTTGTACATTATTCTTTTATACATAGCATCTATTAGGGGTGTTATACTGACCACATTATGAAGGGACCTGACCATAAACTTCTGCACCTTAGCCTCCTTGAAAATTATAATGCACGACCTACTCTGCAAGATTGGAAAACAAAACAAAGTATTGCAACTTCTATTTACAAAATAAAATATTAAGTCGTTTCTAACGCGCCATATACGCTTCGATTACGCAAAAACCGAAGCGTACAAAGCTATATACCTCGGTTCAACTTGACCCGAGGCGGAATGGTGGTATTGCCTCAGTTAGTAGAAGACCCGAGACCTATACTTCTTCACAAAGCACTACAAATCAACTTTTCTGTCTGACAACTTTTTGAAAAGCACTATTGCCTTGGTTTGCTAGGAAACCGATGCCTATACACATGTGTAAGTCAGGTTTTTCCCTGAAAGTCCTCTGCAAGTTAGGCTTTTCGCCTGAAGCACTGACAACTGCTATGTTGCCTGCTACGTCAGGCCTAAGGCATCGGTTCTTCAAGGAACCGAGGTCGTTGAGTGGCACTTTATACCTCGGGTTTTGCTTTTAACCGGTGCCATATGATGATATTACCTCAGGTTTTTCAGTAACCGAGGTAGTAGCTCCATTCATTTTCTGAACTTAAGCTACACACGTTTCATTTGCGCCAACCAACTTCTTCTTCCTCTCGTGCTCTCCCATTCCTCTGCGTAGCTTCTTCTTCCTCGTGCTCTCCCATTCTTCCTCTACGGTTGTGTCCACCATTGCCACTCTTTGCGAGTGCTCGCACCTGCCGCTGTTGGTTGTCGTTCTTGGTTGCGCCTCCTCCCTTTGTTGTCGCGCCATTGATGCCCCGCTGCTGCTGCCTGCGGTGCCTCCAACGAGTTCACTCTTCTGTCGTCGTTGCTGCCTCCGCCGCTGCTACCTCCACCACTGTTTCAATCTTGTTGCCTGCATTGAGGTTGGTTGATTGTGTTTTTGTTGATAATAATATTTGGAGGCAAAAAGAGAAGCAAATTTTATGTTTAGGTAGTTTTCATTTGTTAATGTTTGGGTAGTTTTCATTTGTTGTGTTTGATAATAATTGCTGCTTGGCAGATTTTATAGAGGTGCATGCTTGGCTATTTTCATTTGTTAATTTTTTTAGGAATTGAACTTGTGTTGTTATTGCCTGATACAGTATGGCTTATTGCAGTAAAGAGTATGAATACATGTAGTTACCTTGATGCCAATACCATTTATTTTTCTAAAATGACAATATTTGGTGTTAGATAGTATAGGCTCTTGTTTATTTTGTCTGAACACCGAAATTCTTCTATCCAT